TAAAAAGAAATAATACCCGATATTGCAGGAGTGAGAATTCCATCTCCAACTACCATGGAAGTGCCAACAAGGACAAGAATAAGCAACGCATTCTTCCTGGATGCTTGTCTCTCAAGCCATCCTTTAGTTTTAGCAGCAAACGATTGCTCATGAAATTTAGAGCGGCTATATGTTGTTAACTCCTCGTCAGTTCGATGTTGGTTTGGAATAGTTTTTACTTTTGCATGACGACATAGCAAGGAGTAGAGAGCAAATGTTCCACCTACACAGATAGGTTAACTTAGGGGAACTGTAACCTGTAGCCAATATATATGTTTGTGTAGAGTACAGGTTCTCAGGTTCTTTGATCAAAATCAAAAAGTAAAATATATATATTAAATAAACCAAAAATTTAGATGGAAGTTCTAAGTGTCTGTCATATTTGACTCAAAAATTTAATGTTATGTGCAGTTGCACCACTAAAATTGGTTTGCATATGAAGCTATTTTCACAAGTGATTTAGTGCATGACAAAGATAAATGCTTCTTTCTGCAGCGAAAACGTACATGTAACAATAAAAATTTAATAGGTGACATGATACAACAATCTCAACCAGGACCTTTGATGCCTCAGTTGCCTTTACTTTCTTTGGAAGGAGATATAGGGCACCATGTTTGAGGAACATGTTCTCCAACAAAGAGGACAACTGAAAAACAAAAGGGGATGGGAAACAACAATTGGAACACTTTTGTTTAAAAGCCACAACATCGGAAAAGAGGACATCATAAGATTCTTTTTAGCACTCTACATTTTCTCAATCCAGTTACAATTGTTTGGAATTGGGCCTATACACAACTGGCTTACCTTGACCATTGTCATTTGCTTTACACACGATAAACACATACTTTATGAGTGGAATGAGAGTGAGAGAGTATATAATCAATGAAAGTGCTCCAACTACATCCTCCGGATCAGAAATTCCACGAGGAAATGTATTGTAAAAAACATACAGGGGAGAAGTCCCCAAATCTCCATAGACCACTCCAAGGCTTTGGTATGCAAGTCGAAGAAGCAACAATCCGGAGAATTTCTGGAAAATATAAGATCTTATGAGATGAATGATCACCAGATAAATTTCCTCACAACCCACTAAAATCATGCAGTTATATTAGTTACACAATTTATCCACTGCTACATTTGATGGAATCGTCAAAGTACCAGCACATATTCATTTCTCTAAGACCTTAGCAATATATCATTAAACCCTACAATGTAACTTATAAAGTGGATTTGAACTAGTTAGACAGTTGCAGTTTTGGGAAACAAAGATCCGGTAATGACCTGACAGTTGATGGGTTAAGAAAACATATAACTGAGCAAGGATTAATGGACATTTATGGTACTGCTTTAGTTGCAGAATGGTGCAGTTGACAACTTCTAACTTTCTCACACCTAATACACAAAGAACCAGCGGTACCTTTTCTTTGTACATATTGCTAAGTCTCCCAGCTTCTTCATCCATAGGCTGATCGAGCTTCTGGTCTAGAACCCACATACTTCCCTTCGTTTCAGAGTCCTCATCGATTTCCACTCGAGAATTCATCTTAGTTCCAATTTGAAAAGACACCCAATCAAATGAACCCAGTCAAAAAAATCCTCAATAAAACCCAACCACGGAGGCCTGATCTTTACTTGAGATCTATATTCAACCCCAGCTACGAACTCCACGCCGGCTAATTAAAGCTGAGAAACAAAGTGGATGATGGCCGATTCCTCAATTTGGCAAGTTCGCATGTCCCGAATAACATAAGATGAAGCAGACACCATGCACAAAACTTCACATCAAGTCTCTATACCCAAGAGCCAAAGACTGATTAAGAAATGGACACCCACCAAGTTAAAATTTCAAATCACCATAATCCCAGGCTTCAAGCTTCGATGACTGATGAGCAGAGCAATCCAAGCAGAAAGTTAAAACAACTTAAGTGGGTACTTGATAGATGCAGATTCCAGATGAACACCTACACCAGATGGAGCAAAACGGAGGCAATAAAACCAAATATCAATTAGAGGTATTCTTACCCCCACGGGTCATGGCTCTTGCAGCAACAAAAAAACAATTAACGAAGAAAAAGAAAAACAGACAATAATTCGTACTTATCGCTTTGACAGCAAATTCAGAAGTGGGGTCGGTTCCCTTTAAACCACAGGATCAAAAGAGCAGCAGAATTCTCACAGACCCATAAAACAAAACACATAGGAGAGCCAGGCCCCAGTCCTTTTCCATGGCAGAGAGAGAGGGAAGACGTGCTATACCCAAAACGTCTCAGTCCTCGCTTTCAAAAGCTCGTTTGGATCTTTGTTCAGTATGGGAAAAAGAGCCTTTTCTGAGATTAGTTCCATAGACAACCCAACTCTTGAAATTAAAGCGAGAGAAAATCAAAGAGGGAATCGGAGAGAGAAAGTAGGAACCTGTTTGTTCCTTCTTCAAATTCCTTATCAGCCCACGCTGCTTGCAGTAATAGTTCCAAATTCCATTGGAAAAAGTAACACGTCTCTTCCCCCAGTTCCCAACTCGGTGATTCTCATAATTAATTTACTACCTCCATTACTGCACAAGTGGGATGATGCAACTATGGATAAATTATTAAAAATCAGCACCAGATTTTTCTATCAAATGAACTTTTGAAGTTGGGTCTGAGAGGAAATTCGAGAAGCAAACAATAATGCTTGTCAATTCGTTGTTTTATCGCTGTTGTTGATGGTTGGTTGGAGCCTACTACTGATTGGGTCTGTCTAATCTGGTGGAGAAGAGCATTGATTCCACAGCCGTATGATCACTTCAATTAAATTACAGTTACTTCCCAGTCCAAATTGGCAACGAGGTAATTCTAAAAAAATGGAAGAAAAATAATCGATCTTTATACTGCATAATCCAGTTCAATAATAGAATTACAATTAAAAAGGTTTTAATGCTATTTTTGTATAATATAAGAAAGGCTGCTGAAAATAAATAATTCTGTACAACCTTTTTTTTTTCCTAGCACAAAGAAATATACTCTATTGACCAACCGAGTTATAATCAAATTATCTTTTATTGTTTCAAAACGATTTTCTAAACCGGTAAAAGTAAAATCTGTATAAATTTTCCGTATTTCAAGGGAATTTGGAAAATTAGTTTTCATGACTTTTTCTT